CCAAATAGGATAGCCGAAACGCGCACCCTGGTGAATTCCTCTGCTGGTCATCACCCACCAAACTACTTCAAGTTAATCCTCAGACATCGTCAAAGCATCCTCACTGGCCGGCAACATGTCATCAGAGACTGTAAATTCCGGTCCAATCAATAATCAAAGGGGGAAATCGAAACTGAATAAAAACTCTTATTTTGTCTAACCCATAATGTGATTTCATAATCTGATCATTGTTCTATCTTCTACTTTTAAACACCACTTTAGCCCTGCTTTGTTTCCTTATCGTATCTGTGATTGAAATACTTATCTTGTTACGATAATGCTGCATGCCAAGTAATCCACAACGGGAAACTCACGGAATCCTTTGAAGTGAGGACAGGAGTAAGACAAGGCTGCCTACTATCGCCAATGATTTTTATGATTGCAGTAGACTGGATAATGCGACAGACAGCGGACAATGAAGAAACGGGCATAAAATGGACTCACACAAAAAACTTGGAGGATCTGGACTTCGCCGATGATATATGTCTGATTTCCCACAAACCTGAAGATATGCAAGTGAAAAGCAACAAGTTGGCAGAAGAAGCATCAACGATAGGACTTCAGGTGAACATAGAGAAAACAGGGGTGACGAAGATTCCTGGGCAACACCACCAACAGCAACAACAACAGACAACAATCAGCATAAATGGGAGGAACCTGAAAGAAACAACCTCTTTTACCTAACCACATGGGAAGCATCGTTTCAACTACAGACGGAACTGACGAGGATATCAAAGCAAGAATCGGAAAAGCAAGACAAGCTTTCACTACTCTCAAGTCTGTGTGGAGGTCAACAGCACTCAGCATCAAAATAAGATCCGGATTCTCAACTCCAATGTGAAGTCAGTGCTACTCAACATACGGATCAGAGACTTGGCCAGCGCGTCATAAAGAACATCTCAGAGAAACTACAGACCTCCATTAACAGTTGTCTTCGCTCAGTACTACTCAAGATCAGATGGCCGGTCAGAAAAGATCAGCAGTGGGGAGGGATCTCTGGGAGCGAACCAACTCAGCAGGAACCGATTGTGAAACAAATAGGCAGGAAGAAATGCAGTTGATGGATTGGCCAAACTCTGAGGAAACCATCAAGTGACATCACTAGACAAGCCGTCGAGTGGAACCCGAAAGGAGAGCGGTGAGTTGGTCGTTAATGCGAAGGTCACTTGGAGGAGGTCATGTGAAGAGGAGATGGAGCCAGGTGAAGACTCTAGCAGAGGACTGAACGCAATGGAGACGCACGGCTGAAGCCCTATGTTCCTCTAGGAATTAAAGGAAACAATAATAATAATGTTATCTTAAATAGTAGTAGTAGTAGTAGTAGTAGTAGTAGTAGTAGTAGTAGTAGTAGTAGTAGTAGTAGTAGTAGTAGTAGTAGTAGTAGTAGTAGAAGTAACAATAGGAGGGAATGCATTATTTTACAGAGTTATGCATTGCTTAGCCTTTCATATTTTTATATTTTCACACTTAGGATGGATGCCTCAAAAATGTAAACAAAACGTGTACATGCATACATACATGCATACTCAAGAAAAAACATGTTTTGTTTTATTTTTCATATCAGATCAGTTGTGTTTCTGACAGTCCAGTTAAGCTGCTGTTGTTGCTGCTGCTTGTAACATCAAAACTTGTAAAAAGTTTTAGTTTACTCATGTGTGTCTGTATGTGTGTGTGTATTTTGCTTCATAATAATAATTAATCGATATATATCTGCTCATTTGATTCAAGTATATTTTTGATATACTGTGTGATAACATTTTGTTAAATATAAGTTAGTACTAGTATAGACAACATATACACTGGTACAGGCGAAAACCACCAACAAGATGGCAGCTTCTATCCTAGCAGGAAAGACAGGATGTCAGGTGAACACAGAGAAGACGGAGGTGATGAAGATAACCAACCAACACCAATCCCAATCACTGGAGGAAATTTGAAATAGGTCACTTCCTTCATTTACCTAAGCAGCATCCTTTCAGATATAGGCGTGGCAGCACGAGTGAAGTTGTCAAGACCAGAACTGATAACGCTACGAAGACTTGCATCACTGTGAAATTAGTTTGGAACTTAGTCAGCATAGGCAACAGAATTCGGGCTTTTAACACCACTGTTAAGTCAGTTAGTTCTTCTACAGTCACTTTCCTCAACAGCTGCTCCCTCCTCTGGCTCTATACAGAAGAGTCTGTTGGCCGGTAGGAATGAATTAACACAACAAGAAACTCTGGGAGTATGAATCAATCAAGATGGTATTATTATTATTGTTCCCTTGGGTTCCCAGTGGAACATAGGGCTTTAACTACACGTCTCCACTTGCTTCTGTCTTCTGCTGTACTTTTCACCTGCATCCATGTTAATCCATACTGTTTCAGCTCCTCTTCACACGATCTCCTCCATGTCACCCTTGGACGTCCCAATCGCCGCTTCCCTTTTGGGTTCCACTCGAGCTATGGCCTGACGCGCGATGTCACCCAGCAGCCTCCTCAGCGAGTTTCCAATCCATCTCCACTTTCTCCTGCATATTTGTTGGGCGATTGGTTCTTGTTTTGTCTGTAGACGTTGTCCATTACTGTTTGTAGTTTTCTGTAGAAATCCTCCTTCTTCTCTTGTTCTGAGACGTTTGTGGGCGCATAGCATTGAATGATTGTAACCTTCCTTCCTTTTGAGTTGAACCTAGCTGTCATTATCCCGGAGGAGATTGGTTCCCACTGCATGAGAGCTTTGGCTGCTGTTGGTGACATTATGATGGCCACTCACTCGGTGTGCTCGTGGTTGTCCTCTGGGTGACCGGAATAGATTACTGTCTCCCCAGTTGATAGTTGACAACTTCCACATCCGTTCCATCTGCTCTCGCAGATTCCCAACACCTCTGTTCCATATGTTCTCATTTCTGTGGCTACCTGGGCTGCCTTTCGAGCTTCGTACAGTGCACGAATATTCCACATTCCCATCCTTATTTTTGCTTTCATCGAAAGGAGGCACATCGGCTGACTGGCTTCCCGAAGGCTTTCACCAGCCTACGTCAATTCACTTCCCCCGATTACAGCGAAAAATAAGGTTATTGTTTGTATTTTTAGTATTTTTAATATATTTATGCGTTTAAGTTTTAGTAGCAATTTGGTTAAGTTTTGGGGGTGGAGTTGCTAACACCACGCCCCAACCCTCCCTCTTTATCCGGGCTTGGGACCGGCTAGAAAACTAGCGAGCTAGTAATCTAGGCGAGGTTAAGATGGTATTGCTCAGCAAATATCCTGAAAAAAATGGTGATGGATAGGAGAAGAAGAAAGCTTATGGACAGTCGTGAGGGCAGCTGAAACAATAACTGCAGAGAACAGGATGAAATAAAGATGTTCTGTTGAAGCCCTATATTCCACTCAGAACCAAGGGAATAATAGTATAGACAACAAGAGATTTAAAATATGCGGTATATGTTTACATCCAAATTTTGTACGGATGATGTATGCGTTACTGTCTGTAGTGTGTGTGTTAAGCCGTTTTTTGATTGACAAATAAAACAAATCAGCAATTATGGGCATAATTATCATTTAAATTTGCATTTAAACTTTCTGTAAACTAAATGACATCGATATTCAAGTATTGGTTTGTAGGGATTTGATTGATTGGTTACAGGATATCACCATGAGCTGACATCGGTTAGAGAACCATTAGAAAACCTGGGAGTACTGGACATCTGTTCCGTCCCAATTTTGGGCTCTTCATCAGTTCTCACCCACCACCGGGGTTCGAACCCAGGACCTTCTGGTTGCAAGGCGATCTAACTCGTAGACTATTAAGCCAGTGGGACCCGATGCAGTGGCCAGCCCATGAATTCCTACTTCAGCCAATTCACGACATAGCGCAGCCACTAACCAATGTCATCGCTAGCGAGTGTATTTGTCCTCACGCCCGACCTGCTATACCCTACTGGTCACGACTTCCCACTAGAATTCAACGGTTTTCCAGTGGTTCTCTAGCCGATGTCAGCTCATGATGAAATCTTGTAACCAATGAATGACATTAATTGGAATTTATGCGTTGTTTATGCCTTTTCATATAGTGAATGACCCTTCACTCCTTTACATTTATCATTATTCAATTAATATGATTTTATGAAATAATAAAAAATTTCATAAAATAATGCCACTTACTAAATACAAGCATTTCTCTCACGTAAAAGAAGCTTTGAAACACATTTTTAATACATAATGGGCTTATAATGTCATTTACTCATTTGTCTAAGTGCAGGCAAACGAAATTTTTCTATGTGAACATTCTCTGCACTTTGATTGAACACTAGGTGTGCTAACAAGTTTCATGCGTTTAGATCTTGGTTTCCTGCAGACTGAATTCTATCAGTCCAGTTTGCAATGGGCCCATCATGCTAAGTGGTGGCTTGGCATCACGGTGAACTTTGAATTGTTGTTATTAGAGGGTTGGAGATAATCTGTAGGAAGCCTTGGACCTAGTTTTCGTGCTTGTTGGCACTCGTCAGTCAGCAAGGCGTATCTTCGATCAGCAAACTGGACTGCAGTAAACAATGGACTATTTACCACCTAGCGAACAATCAAAGTATCTAATACAATCCTTCAGGAAGTCAACAGCGAGCCCGAATAGCTCAATGGTGACATCTTTGACTAAGGCAGTGGTTGACGCGAGTTCTAATCTCACTGGGTACATGAATTCCTTCAAGACTGCAGATACGCTTTGCTGACTGATGAGTGACAACAAACACGAAACCTAGGTCAGAATTGGCTACCTGTCGATTGCCTCCAAGCGTGTAATAACAACAATTTCCTGTACTATTGATATTTACTTCACTTGAAAGCAACTGTATCGCTTTGCCTTCATATGAGTATAGTTTCCAGGTAAATTTTTTTTGTATGTGAATATTACAGCTCATATTAGTAATTGATATTACGTGAGGTTATTCTAATCACATGTCTATGTTTTGTATCTACTTTTAGTGGTCTTAAGCCAGTAGAAGCAGAAACTGAACTCTTAATGCGTGCATCACAGTTACCAACTTACGGAATCGATCCTGTACCAGCTACGGTATGTTTTCAAGCATTTTTATGCATAAATCATCACTTGGCTAATAATTTTGAAAGGATGTCAAATATTTGTTATAAGTTGTTGTCTTTTTCGGCTCATCAGTCCAAGTTAAAATGTTTTTGAAAAGTCATTATTTCAAAATGTTTTCATTACTGTTTTATTTATTATTATTATTCCCTTGGGTTCCGAGTGGAACATGCGGCTTCAGTAGCACATCTCCATGTCGCCCTGTTCTCTGTGGTCCTTTTCGACTGACCCAACGATTGTTCATAAGCTTTCACCTTCTCCTCAAATGATTCCTTCCATCTCACCTTCGGACACCTAACGATCTCTTCAAGGTGTGTCCCGTCCATCTCCACTTTCTTCAACTTATTTGTTAAGTAATAAGTTTTTGATTGGTTCGCCGTCTACCAGGGTTTCTTGTTGATAATTCTTTCTGGCCATGAAGTCAGCAAGATGGGCAGCTGTTGTCAACAGTTTGTAGTAGCCTGTTGGAAATGCCTTTCAGGACACGCGCGCCATGTTTATGACACATATACAGGCACTAACTGACTTAACATTGGTTTTAAAAGTCTAAATTTCGTTGTTTATGCTGACAGAAGCAGATTTTCAAATTGATTTCAGAGTAGTGAAGGTCCACCTTGCCTTCTTCATCCCCGTTTCGTCTTCCTCATTGGTGTTGTCGCCTTTGGTTGAAACAATGTTGCCTAGATAAGTGAAGGAAGTAACTTCTACACAAATTTCTCTCTTTATTAGTGATTGGTGTTTGTCGTTGTTGCCGTTGGTTGTTTATGTTTATTTGATGTCTTGTTTTTGCTGCCAGCCTCTTCTGCCAACGTGTAATTTTTCGTCTTTAATGCTTCGAATTTGTGTGACATTAGATGTCAATCGTCCAGGAAGTCCAGATCCTCTAGAATCATCTTATCGGTCTAAAGTATTCCTGTCTTCTCGGTCCCCACATATGGTGTGCCGCATTTTTTTTTATTCCTTCACGTTCCCAGTGGAACATAGGGCTTCAAGCTAGTGGCTTGAAGTTTCTGTAGCAGTGGTGATTATTTTCACAGGATGGGGTTGCTAGCCTCATGCCCAACCTTTCCTCTTCACCAGCATTATTTCTGGCTTAGTGAGGTAAAGGAGTGCGCCGGCCGGTGATCGAACCCCGGACCATATACATGGTCGGCGAGCGTCCTAACCACTATGCCACCGACGCACACACCGGGCCACATAATCCAGTCTAATTAGGAATATCATAAGTTGTAATAGGCAGTCTTGTCTTACTTCTGTCTTCAATTTGAAGACTTCGCTGCGTTTCCCGTTGTGGATAACTTGACTCTTTGTATTGTCATATAGCTGTTGAATGAGGTTGATAAAGATTCGGGGCACTCAGTGTTGAAGTAGTTGAGAAATTACTTCATGGGCAACACTTTTGAAGGCCTTACCAAAGTCGATGAAGCTGAGATAGAGGTTTGATTGTCATTTTATGCTGTGTTCAGTGATGATGCTTAGAGATACAATAAACATTGATATACATGTGTATTTTGATTACAATATGACCTAGCTGTTTATAGACACCGAATTCAGTAATTAACGGTCTATACTGAAACTCTGATGAACAATATAATACCTTAGGTTAACTTCCTCTTATATGACTGTTTGGTTCACCGATGGGACTGTCTTAACCTTACTCCGTATGCGAAGATATGGTTCAGTAGCTTAAGCATTCAGCCTTCAGGCTCTCAGTCTCAAATCAGAACCTTCTCGAAACCAACCCTCACAAAATTAGTGTGACATAGAGTCTCCAGTTTCTTGGTAATCTATTTCGGATAGTTGAATTCTAACTACTCTTACTCCACCTAACAAAGTTATTCTGAGAACGCTCTGATTTGACAAATATTTTTGCAAGTTTAGTTGATGAATATACACAACTTCTATGACTGATCTGTCTTTCTCATCTCATATCTTCTACTCTCAAAATTGCTTACTTTATGGTCGTCTCTGACAAAGCTACAAAGGTATATCAGTGACTAGAACCCTGTAATCTTTTTTGTTCTTCGACTTTCAGAGGCTGTTTCACAGGACGTAATGGTCCATGGAATACTTACCCTTTTTTAACACTAGTTGTGTCATAAGCCCACTACTGACTTTTAGGTGGTCCAGTAGAGTATAATTCTATCATGCAATAGTTGCATTTGAGACGTCATCAGTAAATAGCCAATACTCCATCCATGTGTTACATCAAATGAAATTATTCCTATATGATATCATGTCTCCCAGGTTGTATTCATCTCACTTATTGTGCACAGCATAAGGTGATTAGATGAAAAATTCCTGTTAGAGTGATGCTGGAAGATTATCTTGCTTCATTTGACCGATGAGCTGACCTCGTAACCAAAAGGTCCTGGGTTCGAACCCTGGCAGTGGGTGCGTACTTATGAAGAGTCCCAAGCTAGAACGAAACAGCTGTCCAATACTCTCAGGTTTTCCAATAGAGTTCTCTAACTGATGTCACCTCGTGATCGATCCTGTAACGATGATAAGTGTCCATATTATTCAAAAATATCCTGTTTAGTACTCAGCTTAGTGTATAATTAAAATTGATTTGGGAAATCTTGAAATTTTATTTACTGGAGTTGGAGTTCGGTGCTAAGGAACTTTTACTCCCTATTAATTCGTCATGTAGAGTCAGCGCCCTGAAATGCCATCGGTATATAACTGTTGGTATATAATTATTTGTTAGCAAGAATACTTTGTTTTCTTCCGAGAAATATTCTTCGTATTAGCGTTAAAATTTCAACTGCCTAGTTTTCATACTTACCTTTCTTTCCCCCCTCTCCCCCAATAATTTATACAGCCAATGCAAAAAATTTACTTACCTGTTTCAAACATAACAACTGGCAATAGTACACCATCACCGACAACAACAACACCACCACCAACAACAACAAATGGTGATCAATTCTCAGTCAACTTAAGTAGTCAACCTGTCAGTCTACCAGAAGGAGCTACATTCTATTTGGGAATTACAGGTACCGGTGTAGTAACTTTTGTTGGACGCCAGAGGAGTGCTGAGTTTACATGGTAAGTTTCATTAATTTATACCCCGGTAGAGTCATGATAATTTTAGAACTAAGAATTGTGTATATAAAACACTGTGTTGTCGTCTGTTGAAGAGAGTTCTTTAAACCAATCCATTATGATATTTCTGCTTTGTCTTCTTAGAGAAATCTAAGACATTTGGTGGTTGAAAGCCAATTTTAAAATCTTCAGGAGTACATTTTGAAACCCAAGTACATAACTCAAAAACAGTTATCTTATGTATTGAGACAGGCTGCCATCCACGATCAGGCCTTTTGTCAAGTTTAGCAGAAACTTGCAAATCAGCAGGTTGTGTAAACATTTTAAACACACGCATAAGTAAATAATGCCGTTCAAGGTCATATTTTAATCGATTAAAACAAAGCAAACGAGAGAAATTATACCCAGTATAGAGACGGAAGTTTTTGGTAGTCCGGATTTTAAGCAGCCCGCCGGTGACTTTTTCCATACTGCATACTGTACCTCGAAGTGTAGATCAACGATTGACAATTGAATATCTAAATAGAATTAGTTTCTCCTAATGAAAATCAAAAGGGATTTTGATTATCTCGGAGATGTGGGACTCATTGGCTTAAGCCAATTGGCTATGGGTTCGAGTCCCACTCCACCTATTTCAATACAGGCAACTGGTAGCATTAACAGCCTTCACACGAAAAATGTGGCTCTTAGCCTATCTAGCACATGAGATATTTTTTTCCAGGGAGCTTAGTTCAAACAACATCTTGCTTAGTTATCAGCTTTCTCTTTGTTTTTGTATAAAGTCCCAATCCATTAGCTTACTAATCAATTCTCTTAGGGAAATATTTCAAAATTAAATATGAAAGAGCTTAGGGAATGTTGGGGTATACAATTTTTTTTATCTATTATATACTGTTTAGCAAAGAAGCGACTTAAAATTAGTTTTCTTTTTAAATCCCCGGTAGAGTTCAGTGTTTTTCCACAGTTATAAGGTAATTTTTACTTTCAGCAATATGTCTATTACCAAAGATAAAAGTGAAGTTTTCTATAGTTGGTTTGTAAGGATTAGTTTTGTTTTTACGATTTGATCACGGATTGATATTCGTTAGAGAATCATTGAAAACCTGGTAGAGGTTAGAATTCATGGGTTGGCCATTGAATCGGGTCCCAGTGGCTGAATGGTATACGAGCGAGGCTTGCCTTGTAACCGGAAGGTCCTGGGTTCGAACCCTGGTGGTGGTGGGTGCGTACTGCCGATGATTCCCAAACTAGGATTACACAACTGGCTGTCCAGTACTCCCTGGCTGGTTTTCAATGGTTCTCTAACTGATATCAATCCGTGATCAACTCTTAAAAATAAAAGTGAAGTTCTAAAATAGCATGCGACTAAAAGTGTTACAGTTGCACATGTTAACAAAAATATGACCAGTTGACTGACTGGCTGGATTCACCATAGAACTTTGCACAGAAATGCAACAGCAACACGAGTTGCCACACTCCATGGAGCACACAAAGGGAGGGAGAAAGAATAGTAACATAGAAAAACAGTAGGGTTTAATGGTTATGGGAAATGAGAAAGAGTGAATTCATCAATTGCCTCCAGCCATTAGTCTTTAGAATCCTGACGACCCCAACCAGGAAGTTTACACCTCCCTACATGTCTGGCTCAAACTAACTGTCAAAAATTTCATGGACTGATTTCAAGTTTTTGGTTTGACCACCGGTAGCTTGTCTTTTCCAACCTGATCCTACGTCAGTTAACATCTCCCGCCGAGGAAGGCGATGGCTAGACATGCGTAACACATACCCCTCGTTACCTAACACCCAATTCCAATATAACTCACCTTCTTATGCCACCCAACGCGGGAGATAGAACGTAGACACCTATGATCAAAGACAGCTAGCCAAGCTTTTCATACCTTCCACTTTTAATGACCATGTCTCGTATCCATAAAAGAGAACGGAGCGAAATGATGCGCAGTATATACGTCCTTTGATCTATAGCGAGCTGGATATCCCGTCTACGCTAGAGGTGGCGTAAGTTACCAACTGCCACACAAGTGACAAATATATATGTTGTGGTTACTGACTCATATGGAGCTGTGATTTCTTTTTGTTCAATAGCATTCTTCAAGTTTTAAGCAGCAGGTTAAAAAACAGATGTGTATAATTTTTTTTGTCTAATCAATCACAACACGGTCTCATCTCATTACATAGACAGATATTATAAGATTTAGTGACTGACGGTTTATATAATGCTTACTACATCTGGCTACTATAATTCAAGTCGATGAAGTGACATATTTAAACCTAAACCCTTTTGGTTGAAATTCAAGTGTGCTTTAATTATCTCCAATACACACAAGGCTTGACACAATAAGTGTGAGTCACAGCTTGATGTACCTACCTGTTCATAGGACATGAGTTTCGGTAATTCATTATAATATTGTCATATTTGTTTCTTAAACTGCTAGATGTCTTTAGTGTAGACACCAGTTAGTGTAGGCGTATGTTAGAGGTACCTCAAAATAATTTAGATGATGAAATGGTACTTTGGCAAGTATTATAACGTATACTTGCCAATTGATTAACGCAGTCTAGTACATGACATTTTATTCTGAGCTGTGTTCATTACGTTAGATCGCATTATTTCATTATTCGAATATCAGTTAGAGAACCACTGAAAACCAGCAATGGAGTCCTGGTCAGCTGTTTCGTTATAGTTTAGAACTCATCGGCAGTAACCACCCAGGGTTCAGGTCCAGGACCTTCCAGTTAAAAGTCTGGCTCGTAGATTATTCTACCACCGGAATCTCTTCCAATGGTCCATAAATTCCAACTTTTGGCGTGACCAACAGCCGGTTGGTCGATCGGTTTTCGACACAGAACTTTGCAAATATGTGCGCCAGTTCAAGTCGCCACACTCCCTCCTTGTAGCACACAAAGCAAGAGAAGAAAGTAGGAGATATGCATAATATAGACAGTGAACAGAGGTGTGAGACAAAGGAATAGTAATAACGGAGAACAAAACAGTTTCATTGGAAATCATAAGTCACAAGGAGTGGATGCATCTGCGCCACTGAGAACGATTTTGAGCCATGTCACCAATTGTTTCCAACCATTGGTTTCTACCGTCCCGAGGACCCCAACCAGGAAGTCTACACCTTCCTACGTGACTGGCTTAGACTAACTGTTGTAGATTTCATTGACCGATGAAGTCATGTTTTCGTTTGACCGCCGCTAGCTCTTTTCCAACGTGGCCCTATATCAGCTAACATTGCCCGTCGAGGAAGGCGATGACTAGGCATATGTAACGCATGTCCTAACCATCTCAGTCGATGTGATTTCACAGTCTCGTTTATTGATTTCCCGTCCTTACCTAGCACTCGACGCCTAACCTCAATATTGCTCACCTTATCATACCACTGCACGCGGGAGATAGAACGCACACACCTATGATCGAAGACAGCTAGTGTCATTGACTGCCGAGTGTGTTTCGAACTGGTCGAAGTTAGAATTGTTGCGCCTTTGAGTTGAGTCTCAATGGCTGGAGCGTCAACGAACTTGCCTTGTAACCATAAGGTCCTGGGCCTCAACCCTGGCAGTGGGTGGTCACTGCCGATAAGTCCTAAACTAGGACGAAACAGCTATCCAGTACTCCATTGCTGGTTTTCAGTGGTTCTCTAATTGACGTCAATCCGTGACCCAACTTGAAACAAAACAAATCTCTACAAACCAACTCTTGAAAATTAATCTGATTCTCGGTAGTCGCTAGCTACAGGCTGAACTTTCTTGGAGTTGTAGTGAGAAGTAGTGACCATTAGGATCCACCGGGTCGGGAGTGAGGAAAAACACTCTCCGATGGCATTAGTGAATATGTTATTTGGTTTGTTTTAATTTTTCGTTTACTTTGATTATTACAGTTAGAATTCTTGATAAACTATTTGATCAAGGCTAAAACTGTACACTGATTTAGCGGATACATATTATGCACAGTAGTCTGTCTGACAGGTTAATTGCTTTGATATAACCCATAGCGATTGAGTAATACAATGATAGTTATATTATCAAATAGATGAAGGCTAACGGTGGTTAGCCCAACCACATCTCACCTAGGTTTCGTGTTTGTTGGTACTCACCACTCAGCAAGACGTATCTACAACCTTGAAGGAACTCATATCGCCTCTGAGATTTAAGATTACTGATACTTTCTGATGACTGATGAGTGCCAAAATGCATAAAACCTAGGTAGGTACAAGGCCTCCTGTCGATAGCCTCCAACCATCTGATAACAACAGTGCACTGTGATGACCAGGCAGCACCTAGCATGATGGTGACAATACAGTTTTGACTGATGGATTTCGGTCCACACCAAACATCAGAGACTCGACGTATGACACTAGTTACCGTCTAGTTTCGCAATCAAAGTAGTCATATTATTACTACTACCTTGAAGTGATTACGTACAATAAATTGTACTGTGGTCACTGTATGCTATGCTAAACCTGTGAATGCATTTCTGAATAAAATTGGCATATTTGTAACAACAAAAGACAAGGGCCAGCCAACAGATCGTTTATTAAGGAAAATCAACACATATTTATAGATTTTAATGTACATTATTGTAGATTATTGCTAGTAGAAAATACAGTCAGATCATCCATATGCTAACTATATTCGCCTACGCAAAGCCTTTGTTCTCATTTTCTCACCACCAATATTGGGGACATAAACATTGACGTCAATTACTGTCTACCAACTTTGGCTAGCAGCCAGCTCTCACCACACTACTACCTTGAAGTGACTACGAACAATAAGTTGAACTGTGTCCGCTGTGTGCTATGCCAAACCTGTGAATACATTTCTGAATAAAATTAATATATTTATTTTCATATCAGTTAATCTATTTTGCCTCTGCTATTCCCGAACTATATCTCTATTTCATTCAGTGCTCCAAATGGTGCCAAATTATATATACACTTTCTTTTTACTGCATAATTTTGACACGTGATTTTTCCCCTTTCTTTATTATTTCAGGGATCAAATTCATCGTTTAGCTTGTGATGGAAAACTGTTCCTTGTCTATCTGAAAAAAGATGGCAGTGTAAGTGATTCTGTGTGTGTTTAAAACTCACTAATGATGTCTATATACCTTTTGCTAATAATTTTTTTAGCATTGTCATGCCTTTTTGTAGAGAATGCGTCGGTGGCACAGTGGTTAGGACTCCCACCGACCATGCACATGGTCCGGGGCTCGATCCCCTGCCGACGCACACCTGATATCAATGGTCGGCCTACAGTATCAGGCTACCGATATCACATGCCGAAAATTCCATACTTGTACCAAAAATACTATGTGGAATCAAGCTATAATTAAAAAAACAAAATATGTATATATATTTGACTTCATTGTGAATTGTGATAGTGAGAAAGGCAAGCAAATACTTTTTCTCATAAGACCACTCACTCTCTACTGCAGCAGTTGTTATTGCTTTTTTGAGCATAAATCGATTTTGTCACCTCATGTTTGCTTTGATAATGATGCTGAGATGAGTTCTCTAGTCGATTTTTCATAATTGATGAATTTTATAATAGTAATATTAATAATAATAATATTAATAATCAATCGAATAAGCGATAGGAGATAGACATACATACAAGCCTAGAGAAAATCATCGATTTAATTGGTTGATTTCCAAATAAAATTAGTATGTCTACTACTATCTATATTTAAAAAATAAATAAATAAATGCGTGGGTGGATAGGAGGATAATTACAGACTGGTTTGTCTTAACACACCTACCTCACAGGGTTTTGTTATGTGATGAACTGACAAAAATGTACAAACGCGCGTATACATGATTCATCTGAACCTGGATTTAGCGTTTGTTATAATTCACCTAATTCATCTTATGATTGATATAGACAAGACTGAATCACATCATGTCGTCTACTGTGAAAATTATGCGTAGATCATATATATGCATACGCCTTACTTTTAGGAAAGATGAGATATATTTCTCCGTTATGAACCAACATCAGTCAGGAAGAGGTCATCGTCCCATTTGGGACTCTTCAGAAGTGCTCACCCACAACCCTCCACCACAACCCTGGGACCTTCAAATTAGGAGACTAAGCTCGTTAACCGTTCGGTCACTTGGGTTGGAATTCAATGTCCTATGAATTGTAACTTTGTCAACTCCTGATGATAGAGCGGGCTACCTTCGACCATTGCCTTCGATGAGTATCTTTCACTTTATCTTGATTTGGTAGTGGCAGGGTCGTGGGTGTGCATTGATGAAGAGTTCCAGAATAGGACTGTAGTTTAATTTAACTGTAATTCAGTAACAATAGTTCACTAGCTCTTTCACTCCATATAGGCAGAATAACAACTCATATGTTGCTGTCCCACCATGGAATTCTAAAGTATTCCGTGAGTATAATTGTTAACACAGTTGAGTTGAGACAACTTAAATCAATCAAGGATACCTTTGAATCCTGGAAGTATTGGATAAACGTTTGCCTTGAATACTCCTGTCAAACCCTGGATTTCATCTGAACGTAGAGAAGACGGGTGGTGATGAAGGTAACCAACCAATCACTGTCAACGGAAGAAATTTGAAAGAGGTTACTTCATTCACTCATCTACGCAGAATCTTTTCAACTACAGATGACGACATGGATGAAGATGTCCAGACCAATCAGAATTCGAACGGCAAGAAACACCTCCATCACTCTGAAATCAGTTAGGTAATCTTCTGCACTCCGCCACAGCATAAACAACAAAATTCGGATTTTCAACATCAATGTTTAAGTAAAGTCACTTCTTCTGTATGGGTCAAAAACTTGACGCGTCGTCAAAAGCATTTCCGATAGGTTGGGGACTTTTAACAATAACTGCCTTCACTGACTACATACGGAAGATCGAATGGCCAGAAAGAATTAGGAACAAAGGGACTCTGGTAGGCGTGGAACCAATCAAGAGCCTATTATTATTGTTTCCTTTAGTTTCTAGAGGAACATATATCTTCAGCTGCACATCTCCATTGCGTTTGGTTCTCTGCCAACGTTTTCACCTGGCTCCACGTCTGCCCACATGCTTTTTTCTCCTCTTTACATTACCTCCTCCATGTCATCCACGCACTGATGACCAACTCGCTTCTTTCCGTTCGGGTTCCACTCGAACTTGATGGTTTCCTCAGAGTATGGCCAATCCAACTCCACTTCTTCCTGCATATTTGTTACACAGTCGGTTCCTGCTGGGTTGGTTCGCTCCCAGATATCCCTCCCTGTCGCTGCTCTTTTCTGGCCGGCCATCCGGTTTTTGAGTATTGAGCGAAGACAGCTGTTGATGAAGGTCTGTAGTTTGTTCGAAGTGCTCTTCATGACGCGCCAAATCTCTGATCCATCCGTATAGTAGCACTGACTTCACATTGGAGTTGAAAATCCGGATCTTAATGAGCCTATCACTCAAGAAATATTCCGAAGAAAGTACAAAATGATTGGACAGGTGTTGGGAAGACCGTTGGGGTGAAATCGCGCGTCTGTCAATACCTCTAGTGGTACCTGAGTGAGAAACAATGAGTTGGGCATGTATCCAAGTGTAACATGTAGGAGATTGTATGAAGATGAGATGAAAACGAATGATTATTCATGGGGTCAGCTGGAGAAGTTTGTGAAGAACAGGACAAATGGAGATGTGCTGTTAAAGCTCTTTGTTCCACTTTGAACCCAGGGGAATAATAAAAATGATAATAAGTCGTCTTCAGTGAGACTATTCTCAGGAAATAAAAACAAAAAATTCTATGTTAAGGAAGCAATAAATAAAAAAGAAAGGGCCAGACAACAGATCCTTTATTAAGGAAAATCAACACATATTTATAGATTTTCATGTACATTATTGTAGATTACTGTTAGTAGAAAATACAGTCTTTTGATTAGTTGTTTCTCACAGAAAGTTAACCTTGCATCTCTTTGTGGCTGTGTCAGATCATCCATGTATCCGCTAACTGTATCCGCCTACGCAAAGCCTTTGTTCTCATTTTCTCACCACCAATATTGGGGACATAAACATTGACGTGAATTACTGTCTACCAACTTTGGCTAGCAGCCAGCTCTCACCACAGTAGTAGTAGTAGTTAAACACTATATCTCGTGTCAACATCGATTATCGAAATGCATATTTGTATATTTTATCTAAAATTCATTCTCATTTTGTTCTGTTCAGCAATCATTAGGACAGTGATTTTGTTATGTTAGTCTATAATTAGAATTGTAATTTATTTAATTGTTCATGAGTAATAGTAGGTCACTTCGACATTTTAGTTGATTCAAATAATAATAATAATAAAACATAATAGCTACCCCTAAAAATAGCTATTACATTTTTGCCAAAAGCGTAGGAAAATAATGTACACATGTGTGGACATGTATGTGGGCGGTTTAGCATGACTTATGAGCTGGCTTGAAAATGGCGAATTATAAAATCGAATTCATTTACAATATATTAATTATCCTTATGCTATGAACATTCATAGCCACTTGTGTTGTTGTATTTAGCACAATTAATCCTTCTGTTTCAATGTGTCCTGGTGTGTGCATGTATGTGTGTGTATGTGTGTTGGTTCTCAAATAGTTCAATCTAGTGCTAACACTTACTGTAAGTAGGTTGTCTGAAGAATTTTGGATGACTTTCTATTCACACCTTGTCACCTAATACCAATCGGTGAAGGGAACAGTGTTCACATCATGTACAGCATTTTCAGCGAAGTTGACTGCATGATATTTCCTCTTCGTTCAGGATCTTCAAATAAAATATTAATTGAGAGTAGATTGTGTGACATAAAGCTGTCTGACCTGAAGCACACAACCAATCCATTAGGATGCTTCTTCTTTGTGTTCTTCAAGAATTGAACAAGATTTCTTTGAAAGCCAACTATGAAATGTTCAGAAGTATATATCGAGACCCAAAGGCAATAAGTCAGGAGCAGTTATCTCATGTATTGAGATACGCTGCCACCTGCGAATATATTCCCCCCCCCCCAAGTTTGGTAGAGACTTGCAAATCAGCAGGTTGTAGACATTTTAAGTACTCACGTGAGTAGAAAACACCACTAGAGGTCATATTTTAATAGATTACCATAAATTGAACAAGAGAATTATTTACTATAATAATGGTGGAGGATTTTTTGGTAGCCCAAATTTTAAGCAGACCACCGTGATTCGTAGATTTTCATCAGCGCACTTAAGGTTAGATAATCACAGAGTTGAACATCTGGTGGCGATAAAAGTTGTGAAATTACATAGTCGATAACTATAGGTCATCGTGTTCTGTCCTTTAATCTACCCCAACATCCTAATTCTCCCAAAAAAGACCATTTATCCTGTTAAGCTCCTTACTTCCCCCCCCCCTTATTCATGTTTTAGTAACTCCCAATTAATCAACCATTTACAAAGTAATCAGACACTCGATATTCTTTAAACTTTTTAAGCAAATCCGAAACACACAAGGCAGGATTTGATTAATTCGTTGTTGAAGGTCGTGTAACGAAGTGACAACTTCCTACAGTTTAACTTTGCCAGTTGTAGGTTAACTGTTGCTAAAGTGATATACTACTCATCCGCATGTCTCTTCTTCTTCTTTGTATATTTCTATGCCTTGTTCTTATTGTTTTCGTCTACGAAAAACCATCGTCAATATTGCTAAACTTTTTTTTTTATCAGCTTCTTTTCATGGTTTTTTTGTATTCTTTGAGAGCTACTGGTAGAACACAGTATATTATTATATTTTTATCATTGTTCCCTTGAGTTCCAAGTGGAATATAGGGCTTCAACAGCACATATCCACTTTGTCCTATTTTCTGAGGTCCTCTTTAGCTGGCCCCCCGATGCCCATAGTCTTCGACCTCTCTCACATGTCTCCTTCATGTTACCCTTGGACACACACCCAGCTTGTCGTTCCCTATTTACCTTCCACTCGAAGATGTGCCTGACACGAGATACCATTCGACGATCTTCTCAGTGTGTCTGATCCATCTCCTTTTTCTTCTACATATCTGTTGAGCAATAGGTCGTTCGTTGGTGTATTCACATATTTTCTTGTTGTTAATTCTTTCTGGCCATTTGATCTTCAGTATGGAGCCAGGGAAGGTAACTGCTGATAAAACCCTTCAACCTGTTGGGAACGCTTTTTGTGGCGAGCACTGCGAGTTTCTGACCCATAGAAAAGAAGTGACTGACTTAACATCTGTGTTGAAAGTCCGAATTTTGTTGTTTATGCTATGGCGGAGTGCAGAAGATTTCCACACCGATTTCAGAGTGATGATGATAGTGTGGGAGATAGTGCCTAAAGCTTTCCAAGTATCAGTAGTAGTTTTGGTATTGCTTTCAGGCGCCTAGGGTTACTACTAGCCGCACTTTCAACCTTCGCTCTTTCTCAGAATTACCACCGTCTAATAAACTAGACAAGATTTAGGAATTCGCCAGCTGAGAATCGATTCCATGGATGGCGGCGAGCATTCCTACCCCAGGGACCACCGATGCATAAATTATGATGTATTCCAAAACACCTACTTTAAGTCATATTAGGGTGTCAACAATGAGTAATAACCGGAAATTTTGTTTTTCATCTGTTGGCTTTCCTTGTGCTCACCTTTAAGAAAATCAGACAATTCTTGGGGTATATCTTCCTTAGAAGAGACAACTCACTTTGTTCCATTATGACCTACGGATGAGCTACACTATGATTGTAACAAAAGAGGACAAGGGCCAGGCAACAGATCCTTAATTAAGGAAAATCAACACATATTTATAGATTTTAATGTACATTATTGTAGATTATTGTTAGTAGAAAATACAGTCTTTCGATTGGTTGTTTCTCACAGAAAGTTAACGTTGCATCTCTTTGTGGCTGTGTCAGATCATCCATGTATCCGCTAACTGTATCCGCCTAGGCAAAGCCTTTGTTCTCATTTTCTCACCACCAATATTGGGGACAAAAACATTGACGTCAATAACTGTCTACCAACTTTGGCTGGCAGCCAGCTCTCACCACATGATTATTGTCGTATAAGTAAACGTTGGTCTTGTTTCTCTGTACCTCTTTTGAATTATATTTTTGGCTTACCTAGAATACATATATAAAATGTGTAGTTAAACCATAAAAGCCGACGACAGTATATTAAACATGGACCCTGAGAAGTAAATCTCACCTACAAGGGATACTGGACGGAAGACTTCGTGTAGAATAGACTGAATTCAAGAAAAACACAGCATGGGGGGGGGGGATCAAATTGCAACATCACATATCTTCGTTGAATGAGGCGTAGAATGGAAGTCAACTAGCTCTATTCCCCAACTTCCTCAACGTTGCAGAAAAAGGACTTTGATAGTAGTCAGCGTGAAGTATTTTCGTAAATACTTCAACACTACTACGGAGTGCAATACCGAAGATGTTTACAAACTTCATTCAACAGCTATATAATGATACTGCGTGCCAGGTACTTTAAAGCCAGTATTGGGGAATACAAGAAAGGCGTTCATTACTTTGAAAACAGTGTAATGATTTATAGCACTCATTCAACACAATGGAACAAAACTCGAATTTTTAACAATAATTTCATGTCAATCAGTGCTTATGTATAGTTTAGAGACTTTGCACGTACATCAGCAAAATCATCCTCAGCAGACTTTCATCACCAACTGCATTCATTCAATTCTGAAAATTACATGGCTGAACAGAAAATAAGAGCGATGAGGAACTCTAGATGGCAGCCTACCTGCTTACCCCATATCACTCGAAAAAAATATGCAGGAAGGAATGAAGCTGGATTGTATCGTACTCTGAGGAGATTTTTGAGTGATGCCACACGATAAGCCCTAGAGTAAGACGGGCTGCGCATTAAAGAGTGACATGGATAAGATCATTTGAGGAGGCCATAAAAGCTAGTGGACAGTCATGAAATCTACTGAATATGACAGCAACTGTATGCTCCGCTTGAAACGAGAGGAACCAATATAATGATATAATATATGCTTAATGAAGCATTTTATTTTCAAATTAAATAAAGTCATGCATAAGTGAAATGGAAAATTCCATAACTTAGCAGTTATTTTCACTAATGAAAATGACTAGTTGTCAAAAAGGGGGGAATAGACGAACCAATAGCTTAGTTCTTCAACTCCCTTTTCTTACGTATTACCTTAGACTTTTAGGTCAAGTTGTTTGAAGGGCTTCAGGTCACACCTTTTATCCTCCATGGAAACTCTTTCTTTATTTACACAAGGAGAACTATGGACTGTGTGTTTGTACAAAAGAGGGTTGTCCGATCCCCTCTACTACCCTGGGCTTCAAGGTTTTTCTGACTTGTGTACATGATCCATCTTCATTCTTTCTTTTATTACCTTCTCATTCTTTTCAAAACTCTTAAATATATCCTGTATGTGAGTATTCTGAGGCCTTTCACTCTTTTGAACACCCGCTCACACACAATTCTAATGTTAATCATTTTTGAGTAATATTCACATCAATTAATGGTTCTAGATTATGTTACTGAATTTCTCAATTTGTTCATTTTTCTTTCGTAATTAAGTAATCTCACGTGTTATATTACAAACCAGTAGTAATGACTGACCTTTGTAGGTAGTTCCATGACCTTTTAGGACACTATTCAGTTGTACAGCTTTTAATGAGAAGGTTACGAAAAAAGAAATCTGTGTTGACCTGCGTGTTTTTTTTAAAATTTACATCACGTGGGTATTTTTCACAGCTAGTGGATTAGTACAGGAAAACAGGAGTTTTTTTTACATTAGTTGGTGTTTTATCTCCTTTATTTTTACATTACCATTACACATGTTATGGAAAAAAAGCAACACTAAGCCTTAATAATAATAATAATAATACTCAGAATCTGAGGCTGTGGTACATCCTACATCCTTCGTAGACGTCAACTGTATTCTATGTTTGTAGATACTATCCCTATGTTCTTTGTGCCTATGCTTAAATCTAAATTGTGACTGAACCAGTACACTGACTTATGTGTATATTTATATATATGATAGTCAGGCTTCATAACTGTGATTATGAAAGTTTTAGTAGCAGTAGTGTTTATTTTTTACGGGATTTATAGGGTTACTAGCCACACACCCAACATTCTCTCTTTGTCGGGCTTATTTACTGGCTAAGCGAGGTTTAACAGCGCATCGTCCGGGGGTCGAACCTTGGACCAGATTCAAGTAATAAAGGATAGTAGCCTCTTGTGCCTCTTGGAGATCTAATTTGATTGCATGGAGGATTTCATCATAAGCTGACATCAGTTAGAGAACCACTGGAAAACCAGCTGGGAGTACTGGGACTCTTCATCAGTACGCACCCACCCCACTACGGTTCGAGTCCAGGACCTTCTGGTTACAAGGCTAGCGAGCTCGTAGACCACTGAGCCACTGGGACCTGATCCAATGGTCCTTGAATTCTAACTTCTGCCAATTCACGACATAGCGCGACCATTTCACAATGTCTTCTTCGATGAGTTACTGCCTCATCTTCAACCTTCTGTACCCTACTGGTCACTGCTTCCCACTAGAACCTCAGGTTAATTTCTCTTTGAAAGCATTCACGATGGAGTTGATACTACTTGGTTGGATAAGGAGTTCCAGTTACTGACCACTGTATGAGAGAATCTAAATTCCATATTATTTTATTTGTCCGTGGCTTGAATACCTTTTTATGGTGATCACGCAAAGGTATCCTAGAGGGAGAGAAAAGGTTATAAAAGGTTAATCCCCAAATCACGCTTTAATATACGATATGCCAAAATTAAGTCACCTCTCCTCCTGTGGTATGATAATGGGAAGAGATTTAAGTGTTCCATTCTCTTCTCATATGAAAAGGTGTGAGATACCACTGACCTTCTGTACTCATTTGCAAGGTATGTGCCTCCTTCTTGAACCTTTGACTAGCTGTTTGTATACAGTATTCTAGATAAGACCTGACATATGTTGCGTAGAATACTTTGAACATAGGCTGTTGAATCGTTTGAAAGCCCTGTGAAGTACCCATAGCATTCGTAAGGCCTTAACTGAAACTGCATTACTATACGCAGTTGTTTTCAAATCATTTCTGACAGTAATTCCTAAGTCATTTTTTGACGCTTAACATTGGGTAGTTCTGTGTCCCCCCCCCCCACCAGGGAGTACGGCGTGTAAGACCTCTGACTTAAGTTCATTACCGCGCACAAAGTCATGAAAAAGTGAGTACAAAAACAATCCTTCAACTAATTAAATCACTTAAAGTGAACTAAAAAGGTTTTTTTTGATGTGATAAACACAACAAAAACAGAAGTCCAACCACTGGTTTCCAGAGATTTGATTTGATTGGTTAGAGGACTTCATCATGATGGTCTGTGAGCTTGCTTTATATACTGGGAGGTCCTGGATTCGAATCCCGGTGTCTGTATACTGATGAAGAGTCCCAAACTAGGACGAAATGGCTGTCCAGTACTCCCACTTGGTTTTCCACTGGTTCTCTAACCGATATCACCTCACGATGAAATCCTGTAACCAAAAACAAAAGTCACTTTACAACGTGTAAAAATGTTACTGTCCTTTTTCGAAAGCGCATGCGAACCGCCTAAGTGAAGCATGGTTGGCGATTAATCTGCCTACTGAACCTCTGACACACTAATCAACATTGTCCATGCACTGCTTCAAAGCGGGGGGGGGGGGGAATTGTTATTTTTAAACATTGAAACACACATATACACACACACCAAAACGGTGACACTTCTTTTCTTGTCTCTAAACGCATTCATCATATTACTCTCCATTCTGAGAACTAGCTACCTGTGGTAAGTTATGCTAATTCTCCACTATCACATAAGAACATGTTATATATATATATGTTTTGTTTCATTGTTTTTTGCCTGCCTTCTTCTTATCACATTTTCTTCAGGTTGATACTGGAAGACGATTGTTTCGGGTACATATATACATACATATATATATTATAGCTGGGTTTATTTATTTTATTTATTTATTTTTAATTATTACAGCATTGAGTGTGTGTGTGTGTGGGTATTCATTCCCTGTGTTGTTTTTTTGTGTGTTTCTTCTACTTTTGTCTGTCTACTCTTCTAACAACAAATGCTGATGAATGATGATTTTCATACCTTGTTCTCATATTTCATCAAATAACTCATTCATACTACTTACTACTTACTACATACTACTGACATTTTTATATACTAATTACTTGGTGTGTGTGCGTGCGTGTTTGTGTGTCTACCAGTGTGTCACATATTCAAGCCTCTTTTTTGTCTTCTTCTTTGTGGTGTAATTTTTCAAAACATCAACAACAATCATCATCAACATCATCGTCAACATAATCGCCATCATCGTAGCTGTTTGTTCTTAACTCATTCCATTGCGTGTGTTTTGTATAATCCATCATATATTGCATAACATCCCATATTGTATCGCTTATTGAATGTGAAATAGAGGGAGGAGTAGAAGAAGGAGCGAAAAAAACAACAGCGACTTTTTACAGTATGTTGTTGTTGTCTCTTCTCTTCTCTTCTCTCCTCTTGTAACACTCACTATCTCTGTGTTTACATGAGTTTCAATAGCAATACATTGATGTGTATCATTTGAGATAGTGTGAGTTTAGTTTCAAGTTTATAGGTGAAATCCTGATTGTATTCGCTGGTTGGTGTGTGTGTATGTGTGCTTGTGCGTGTGTGTGCAAGTTTGTCGATGTATGACTAAAGCTCAAGTTTGGTTTATTAAAGATTGAAGAGAAAGAGAGAGAGAGCAATCAGTCAGTATCTAGCCATCTTACTTAATGCTATATAAGTTATCTATCTAATTGATCTAATCTATCATGCATTCTCTCTCTATATATATATGTAGATCATACTAATACATTGATCTGTTGTTTTAAGATGGAATGTATGCGCGCACACCTTATCGTTTAACCAACTTACTTACACATATTATCTGTTTCTCTGTCAATGAGAAATTGATTAAAACAATATGCATTTTATTTATTTGCTCATTCATTCATTCATTCATTCAAAGTCTATCACACAGTTGGATGCACTTTGAGACTAGAGACTACACATATATATTTTTCATGCTATATATGTATGTTATTAGATTGGAGGCGTTTTTGCTATCTTTAAGATACTCAAGTCTCCCGCCCCCATCCCATGAGATTCGAGTTCGTGTCACTCAGTGCTGTAGTGTAGTCAGGGTTCGAATCACAGGAAGGATATGAGTTCCTTGGAGATTGTAGATACGCCTTGATGACTAGTAAATAATGCCAAAAAGCACGAAGTCTAGGTCAACTGGTTGGGCTTCCTTTCGATTGCCTCCAATCATCTAATAACGGTAATTCAGAGTGCACTGTGATGATGATGGCCATGTAGCGAACTTGACTGACAGAAATCAGTCTGCATCAAATAAAGGACTAGGCACATGTTACTCGTTACTAACTAGTGTCATCAAGACATATGATTGTTCAGCGAGGAGGATCTTTTCAACAAATTCTTTACCCAGCTGTACAAATGTACATATGTGGCTTTTTATATTAAGAGATTATATCCCGTGAGACAATTATAAACAAAGGTGTCAATACAAAAAATAATAATAGTATGAAACGCAGTTAAAGTGTTTGTGACTATAATCATTGTCAAATTTCAAGTGGTAAAAGTGCTGCGCATGCCTAATCATCGCTCCCCCCCCCGACGGGCATTACTAGCTGATATAAGTAGGTGCAGGTTGGAAAAGAGTAAGTGGTGGCCAAACAAAAACACGGCATCAATCAATCCATGAAATCCTTGACAGTTAGTTAAACTGAGTCAGGTAGGGAGATGCAGAATTCCGGGTTGGGGCCAGCCCTCGGGACAATAGGTGACATGGCTCAAAATCGTTGTCAATAGCTTATGCAGATGTATTCAGTCTCTGTAATCTTTCATATTCATATCTACCATCACTCATTCTGTTTCACTCTTATACTTGTCAAAACTCTATTGATTCTCTTCACATATTTTCTTGTCTACCTTTGTGTGGTATTTGGAACGTGGCAACTCGAACTGCTTCACTTCGGTGCCAAGTTCTATGTCGAATCCAGACAGACAAGTAGCAAAATAAATAATGTCATAAGTAGGGATAGGTTATAGGATGTATAGATATGTTGGAAGCGGGTGTAAAATTACAGGATTAGTAGTCAATTTTTAAAAAAATACTTTGCACAACATGACACGAAATTTGATAACATAAAATTTAAAATTTCCAAAACAAAATATAATGATCAATGAAATGATACCGGAAACAGTTCGAAGTAAAAATAATGATAGTAATAATCTGTATAATAAGGGAAGGATATACAAATTGAATAAACAAAACGAAAAATTATTAGCGCTAACATATTGTACTTTAGCATAGACGGATTAAGACCATGAAAGTTGGAAGGTTTGAACAAGCTTTTTCTGTATACAAAGATCTAACTTTTCTACTTGGATGACCAAAGCTGTTTCAGTAAGACAGATAAATTGGATACGTAATGATTTGAGCAGGTTTATTCTCTATCGCCTTGTAGATAACTTTAATGGAAGAGGTTGTAGGGGTTAATTTGACCAGTATCGATCACATGATTGCGCTTCTTGTAGACTCATTTTCACCTCTTCGTAACCACGCAGGATAGTGTTCTTGCATCCTCTTGGATAAAACTTGAGTCGAACGACTGAGAGTAGGTGAATTCATCAAGGCAGATAGTGTTGGTTGGTTGCGGGTTCTTGTTCTTCAGGTTAGTGAACAGTAATGACTGACTAAAAAATGCTATTCTCAACGATGCTGCAACATATTTCTTTTACGAGTTGATCACGGACTGATATCCAATAGAGAACCATTGAAAACCAGCATTACTGTACTTACTGGACAGCTGTTTCATCCAACTAGTTTGGGAATCATCGGCAGTACACACGTACCACAGTGGTGTTCGAACGCAGGACCTTCCGGTTACAAGGCAAGCTGGCTCGTATACCATTCAGCCACTGGGAACCGATTCAATGGCCAACCCATGAATTCTAACTTCTACCAATTCGTGATTTAGCAAACCAAACTATAGAAAATAATTCTGATGCTCGCTAGTGACTTGCTACAGGATGGAGTTTCCTGGAATTCCAGTGAGAAGTCATCACCAGTGAGATCCACCCAGTCAAGCGTGAGGATGGATGTCCCACCGATGACATTGGTTGGTGTTCAAGCTAAATCACGAATTGGTAGAAGTTAGAATTCATGGGTTGGCCATTGAATCGGGTCCCAGTGGCTGAATGGTATACGAGCCAGCTTGCCTTGTAACCGGAAGTTCCTGGGTTCGAACCCTGGTTGTGGGTACGTTCTACCGACGATTTCCAAACTAGGATGAAACAGCTGTCCAGTACTCCTTGGCTCGTTTTCAATGGTTCTCTATTGGATATCAGTCCGTGATCAACTCGTAAAAACATAACTAACCCTTACAAACCAAACTATAGAAAACTGTGAGATACTTCTTTTTAAGGGTGACGGCAGATAAGCCGCCCTTGAATTCAAGGTTATTCACGTTTCAATATTATCTGAGTTAATATGAGTATCAATGACTGGTTTTCAATCTCCATTGCACTTGAAATACAATTAATCCCCTTTATTATTTATTCCCTTCTGTTTTCTGTAAATTCTTAAAGTATTTTTATGGCTTGACTGTGTGTGTGTGTGTGTGTGGATTTTGGTTACTAAATCAATGGGTGTTTATTTCGGTGAATTCAATTGAGGAATGAGCGTTTTTACTCAGTATACTGAACTAATCTAATCCAGTTTTTTATTGTTGTTGAAAAAATAAAAGTGTTTTTTTTCATGCTTTTATGTCACACTTCTCTCTCATTGTCCCTCTTTGTGTACTTTAATTCTTTCTGTCTCCATCAATCGTCATTATATCCATTGTTTGTTACTATTGGTAACCAGCTTGGTTGGCTTTTGTTGAAACAGAAAGCATGTTGTGTTGTGTTGTGATGTGTGTTCTATCTGATAATTTTATAAAAGGGGGGGGAACAAACAAGGAGAAGTAAACAGTTGTTTATTTTTTATTCTTTTTCATCACCTATGAATTGTATCATCTCACTTTCCCCCCTCCTCTATTTCTGTTTATTTTTATTTTCCATTTAGACAAAATATATTCAGCATTCATATCGGTGTAAATCGAAAGCTGCAGCATTAGCCTTTTGGCATTGGGCTGTTGATCGAAAATGTTTCTTCACGTAGGTTCAATCAAGTGCTTGTTTTTTTCTTTGTTTCTTTGTTGTTGTTGTTGTTGTTGTCTAAAAAGAAAATAATCTTTGTGAATACTAAAAGTCAATCTGACGAATTAACGAAGAATATTCTTCTTTTCAATAAGTTCTCCTCTTCAGGTTCTTACAAATTATTAAATACAGTATTTATTGTCGTTACAATAATGATAGCCAGTTAGTTATGCGGCGGATACATTTTTTAATGTAGAATAACAAACAGATTAGCAGTTATGGGGTGTCAAAATAAATAGTCGTATTTGTGTGACAAACGTGCTCTGGGCTGAAATCGATTACAAAATATTTCGGTGAAATGGGAGACAATGGTGGTGATTAGTCATAATAGATTTTCTATAGTTGGTTTGTAAGGGTTATTTTTGTTTTTACAAGTTGATCATGGATTGATATCAGTTAGAGAACCATTGGTATAAGTTATAATTCATGGGTTGGCCATTGAATCGCGTCCCAGTGGCTGGATGGTGTACGAGCCAGCTTGTCTTGTAACCGGAAGGTCCTGGGTTCTAACCCTGTTGGTGGTGGGTGTGTACTGCCGATGATTCCCAAACTAGTTGGACGAAACAGCTGTCCAGTACTCCATTGGTTCAATTAAATAATTAATATGACCTGTTGCACAAGAGGTGGCTGTCGTGGCCCAAGTGGTCTAGTGGATAACGGTTTGGTGTTTGAAACTATGGGCACTGGGTTCGAGCCTCGGTATGAACATCGTCACTGACTCACTGGTGAATGCAGGTACATCCAGATGATGAGTCCCAAATAGGACGAAATGCGCATCCTAGTGGATTCCACTGCTAGTTACCATCCACCAATTAAATAAATATTATATTTTATAATTGTAAGAACCTGAAGAGGAGAACTTATTGAAAAGAATATCCTTCGTTCAGATTGACTTTTAATTCATGGGATATGGGAATATTTCACACTATTAAATCTTTGTGAATACTGTCAAAGAAAAAAAAAGTAGCATCATTTTTTCAGTGATAAATTATTATAATTGACTTTGGTTGTACTAAATGTAACAATTATGTCTAAAAGAGAAAAAAATGTGTGACATCAACTGGCATGCTATTTGATTATGGCATACTTGTTCTCATGAGGCTGTTCTTCTGAATAAAAAAAGTTGTATTCTCAGGATAACTGATATAATTATTGCTAAACATGATTCTCCTATTGATTGACTAATTGATCGATTGGACCGAGATGTTTGGCCTTTGTTGAGATGTTGGCTTCTAGTACGGATGCTCCAACGACTCGTCAACTGGATGTACCTCCATTCTCCAGTGAGTGATCGGTGTTCTCTGAACTGAGGCTAGAATCCAGTAGCCATCGTTTTAAACCAGAAAGCGTTATCCACTGAACCTCTCGGGTCATGAAAGTCACCTCTTTTGCAGCCGCCATCAGTTTCGATGTTACCATTGATTAATTGGACCGATATATATTCAACCTCTGTCGACATATTTAGTGGTCTAGTGGATGACGCTTTGGCTCTTAAAAGTTATCACTCACTGTGGAATGTAAGTACATCCAGTTGACCAGTTTCAAATGGAACAGCCGAAATGCTCATCCTGGTGGATTCCACCAAAATTATTTCAAGCTAATCATCATATATTGTCAAAGTGTCCGTAGTAGGCACGAGCTCGAACATTTAGGTCCAGACAATAAACGTGAAAATAAAAACTAAATTAAAAGCAAATCTATTCCATCATACCTAATTTAATAACAGTTGAATTTTTGCAGAAAATTTCAGTGACATCAATTCATAATTATAATCAGAATAAACGTTGACTTGATCACAACTCATCAATATACACATTGTTGAGTAATGGCGAAGTGAAAGCATCATAGCCAAAGTCAAGGTCTTTCAAAAGTTGACCTTCAAGAACCGATTAGATACAGGGAATACTATGAAACGTCATTCCCAGTCATATCATGTCTGCCTTTTTCGACTTGGAGACGGTAGATACAATGTTCTACTGATTTACTAGGCACTTTTTCTGCAAATCTATACTGTGAGGTAGAGTTATAGCTTTTTAGATTAAGGTTTAGGGTTAAAGTTAGGATTAGAAGTTAGGATTATGGTTACAGTAAGAGTAGGTTGGGCGTCGGTGGCACAGCGGTTAGGACGGTCGCCGACCATGCACATGGGCCGGGGTTCGATCCCCGGCCGATGCACTCCTTGACTCCTGTACCTCACTAAGCCAGAATAAAAGCTGATAAAGAGAAAAGGTTGGGCAGGATGCTAGCAATCCCATTCTGTAAAAATGAACACCACTGCTACAGAAACTTCAAGCTTCTAGCTTGAAGCCCTATGTTCCACTGGGAATGTGAAGGAATAAAAAAAGAGTAGGTTGAAGAATAGTTTCAGAAATATCAATAGATCTCAAAGTACCATGACCAGATACAGTCACCTGGATGAGTGGATATATCGAGCATGGTATGATTTCCCTATGGATCATCTGTGTATTGACTGGGAGACATTCTTACAACAAATAAGCGACAACTATACAGTATAAAATCATGTTTGCAATATTTTTTAGTGTACTTTTTAACCTCATTCATATGAACTGTAATCAACATTTGACCGAATAGTTCCAAAATATAATTGGGTGCCGAGTGAGAAGTAGACATTTGTAAAAAACTATATTTGTAAAACCTCAGCGAAACTGACATGCCTAATTCCAACGTTTCTTTCGTCAAACTGGTCCGAACTCCTTCCGGGAAATTAATCGAAATTAACATAATAGAGATTATAAGTTTCCAGGCCATAAATATTACGAATTTCCTGGAATAATTTGAGTGCCAAGTCGGATTGAATCCTTATAAATTTTTTAAAATAATCCCAGTGTGTTTAGGAAAAAAAATCAAAACAAGATATGTTATTTGAACGTTTCGCTGTGTAAGCCACAGTTTCTTCAGCAGAAGTATTCGAATTTTATGATTCATCCAAAAAACGTTCAGAAAAATCTTGTTTTGATTTTTCTTAAACACACTGGGATTATTCTAAATAACTTATAATAACATAACAGAGATTTATATATATGAAAAAATGGACATCTCTTCTTTTTAAAATCTTTGTCCAGTTGTATGAGTCATGAAACAGTCGTCAAAATATAATGAACAAAATTGTATGAGCTGTGATCAAAATTTCACCTTTCACGTAATCACTAAAATTCTAATGAAAAGTGCTTAACAAAAGTAGACCAATATTTGTAAATCTTAGGTCAAATTTTAATCACAGCTCTTACATTTTTGTTTATTATATGTTGATGACTGTTTCATGACTCGTACGATTAGACAAAGTTTCTAAAAACAAGAGATGTCCTTTTTATGTATATAAATCTCTGTTATGTTAATTTCGATTAATTTCCCTGAAGAAGTTCGGACCATTTTGCCGAAAGAAACGTTGGAATTAGGCATTTCTATTTCGCTGAGATTTTACAAAGATTATGCGACTTTTTTCTATCTGAGTTCTGATTGTTTGTTTAAGGTCACTGTGGTTTTGGCTATGATATATTTCATGGAGTGATTCCATGTGTTTGGTGTAACCACCACTAGCTCTTCTTTTCCAACCTTATCTCCTATATGTTAGCTAAGATTCCCTGTCAAGGAAGGAGATGGCTAGGAATGCATAACACGTATCCTAGCCATTTCAATCGATTCACCTTTATTACCTCATTCATCGACTTTCCCTCCCTACGTAACCTCAATAGGGCTACAAGCTAGAGCTTTGAAGTCTCAGTAGCAGTGGTGTTCATTTTTACGGGATGGGTTTGCCAGCTTCATGCCCAACCTTCCCTCTTTACCAGTCTTATTCCTGGCTTAGAGACGTAAAGGAGTGCGTCAGTGGCCAGGGATCGAACTCCGAACCACCTTCGTGGTTGGTGAGCATTCTACCGCTGTGCCACCGACTCACAAACCTCAATATTAGTCATTGTAATATACCACCACATAACATGGGAAACACAACGCAGCCATTTATGACCAAAGACAGTTAGTCTTTTCATATCTACTACTTTCAATAGCCATATGTCACAACCGTAAAGGATGACAGCGAAACTGCTAAGGCACAGTAAATACATCTTTTAATCCATAGCCAGTCAGTTATATGTTATAACGCCAACGGATAGTCTGCTAAATTTTCTGAGTATATTCCCAAAAAGTCTTCTCATATGAAAAGTGGCACAAAGTGTTCTCAAGTGCAACTGTCAGACACCTAATTGACTCCGACTTTAAAAATAATCAATACACAAAGAAAACTCTAGTTAATTTAATGGGTCGATGGTGACTAGCAGTGGAATCCACTAGGATGCGCATTTCGTCCTATTTGGGACTCGTCATCTGGATGAAGCTGCATTTCCCAGTGAGTGTTGATGTTCCCACCGAGGCTCGAACCCAGTTCCAAACGCCAAAGCGTTATCCACTAGACCACTTGGACCATGGGAGCCACGCCTTGGGCAACGGGTCATATTAATTATTTAATCGAATTTTAGATTTTCCCGTCGATTGGTTGGTCCGAAGTGCTCGGTCTCAGGTTGACATATTGGCTTCTTGTGCAGATGCTTCAACGATGCTGACGAGTCACAAATAGGATGAAATGCGCTCCCTGGATTCCACCGCTAGTTACCATCCACCAATTAAATTCTAATTACATGTCCAGACACATCGTTGAAGCATCTGCACAAGAAGCAGACAGACATGTCAACCTGAGACCGCGAGAGCACTTCAGTCCAATCAATTGACGGGGAAAAAATAAAATCTAAAATTCAATTAAATAAAAAAAAACGCTCTATTTACTTCGGTTCTCATCTCAGATGCCATTTTGTTTGCTAATAATTAATTTATTTCGAATTCTATTGAAGAGTGAATTCTAATTTGTTTGTTTGTTTTAATTTTTCATTGAACACTGTTCAGTGCCTAAAATCCATTTAAAGTTTACTTAGAGAAATAAATGTCTGTATACAAATCTGTCTGGCAGAGCAAAGTCGTTATTATTATTATTACTAATACTAGAGGTTGTAGTATTTGCCGCTTTGTAATTAGAGGTTAATTTAATGTTTAATTAAATTTAATTAATTAAAGTTTTTTTTAAATAATTATCCTCTTAAATGAAAAATAGAATAGTTAAGTAGTAGTAGTAGTGACCTATGAACATCCATCAAGCAGATCGATTCTTTTACCTCATTGTTGTTATGTCTCACAATGAATATTGAACTAAGACCAAAAAAAAATGTTACTCTCTAGAAAATATAAACCAAAGTATCATGTGTATACGCATAAGTGCGTGCGTGTGTGTGTGCGCATGCTTGTTTGTGTATGTGTATGTGCAGGTTTGTGTGGTTGTGTATAGCTGTTGTTATTTTCTCTGTACTCTTATATGGTATGCTTATTCTATGTGAGCAATGAGATACTTTGTGCCAAAATATTTAAAAAAAAAAATGAAAGACGAAATGAATCAACTTGCAGGTTACTGTTGTTATTATTATTATTATTACTGTTCTTCATCAATATTTGGTTTCTCTATCACACATACACACTTACAAACAGACATATATATGCAAGACGTTAATGTAAAAAGCAGCGAGAGAGAGAGAGAAAAAAAGGAATTCGTTCAACTTTTATACAACTGAGCCAGTTTTGTTGGAATAAACGAAGCATTCTTTGTTATGGTTGTTGTTGTTGGTGGTGTTGGTGTTGGTGGCGTTTTATGCCATATATGCATATATGTACACATACCTCTTTTGTTCTATTTTGTCCTTCTTTATTATAATATGTAATCGCTAATCATATTAAAATGTTGTTTTTGTTGTTGTTGTTGTTGGTTTTTTTTAATTTATCTTAGTTTAAAACAAGCCAGTGAAGCAAAGAAAATTAAACCATCTACAAGTATATTCAATCGAAGTCATTCTTATCGATTTAGGTAAGGACTGAGGGAATCAATTTTTTGAACTGTCTAGAGATGTGATAGTACCAGGCTAACTGGGTTTTTTTTTCTTATTTTATTTACGATTGCTTTGATTATTATTACTATGATTATCCTTATTATACCCTTGAGTTCCGAGTGGAGCATAGGTGGGAGGGTGGGCGGCCCGGGGGCGGGTTCACAACAGTACATCTCCATTTCATCCTGTTCTCTGCAGTCCTCTCTAGTCTCCCATCTCCTGGATGTCTCACTCGGACACACACCAAACTCGTCGTTTCCCACTCGAGAGATGGCCTGGCGCGCTATGTCAATCAGCCGTCTTCTCAACATGTGTCCGATGCATCTCCATTTTCTACTCATTATTTGTTCACCAGTAGGTTTGTAACAACAGAAGACAAGGACCAGGCAACAGATCCTGTATTTAGGAAATCAATCGATATTTATAGATTTTCATGTACATTATTATAGATTATTTTAGGCAAACAAACACAGTCTTCTGATTGGTAGTTTCTCTCCCTCTCTCTGAGCGTTAATCTTTCATCTCTTTGTGACCGTTTATTAAAGAAGTTCAGATTATCTATCTGCAAATTGTATCTGTCTACTCAAAGTCTGCTGTGATTGTTTGTTGAGTCAGTCTTTGTTCTTGTTAATTTCTCATGATCAATATTGGGGACGTAAACATTGACGTAAATTACTGTCTACCAATTTGGCTGGCAGCCAGCTCTCACTACACGTTCTTGAATGGTACACTGCCTACGAGAGTTTCTTGTTGCTAATTCTTTCTCGCCAGCCGGCCATCTGATCTTCAATATGGAACCAGAAAAGGCACTTGTTGACTGTTGGAAGTGCTTTTCGTGGCATATGCAAAAGACCTGACTGACTTAACATTGGTATTGGAAATCTGAATTTTGTTGTTTATGCTGATTGAGTGCTGATTTCCACACTGATCTCACAGTGTTGAAAGTATACACTGGCTTTCCTATTTTGTCTAGTTTTGACATCGTCAAACTATTCTGTCGCCGTGTGGTTGGATGGATGCTGCCTAGATAAATGAAGGATGTGACCTCTTTCAAATTTCTTCTGTTGATAGTGATTGGTATTTGTTGTTCATTATCAATATCGTTTGAAGTCTTGTCTTTGCTGCTTCGATTGTTTTGCAGTCTTCGTAATCTTTAGGTTTGATACATTTCAAGTGTGTATCGGCATATCTAATCTCCAGTTTCTCATACCTTCGCCATCTAACATTATGTGCCTCTCTTCTTCTTGTCTATATTAAGTACACGTTTTTACTCTGCCTAAAGAAGATTATTTTGTATTTTTTGTGAATTTCATCTGCGATAGAATACCACTATTACTTATTTCAACTTAGTGCCTGGCTCAGCTAATCTATCACTATGTGATGTGTTTTGTTGTGAACAGTCTACAAAATGCTGTTTACACACGCATTGCTCTGCAGGGATTTGACTGATTTCACAATTGATCGTAAACTGACTTCATTTAGAGAACAACTGAAAACCAGTAGGGAGTAATGGACGACTGTTGCGCCCCTAACTGGGACTCTTCAACAGTTCACACCCATATGACCCCAACATCAAGTCCTCCCTAGTCTTCAATGGTTCTCTACAGCTGTAAAGTTACTGTGGTGGCCAGTCGTGAAATCGATCAAATCCCTGTAAAGCAACATTTTAAAGTCAGTCCAGTGCTCAAACTAGCCTAACTGTGAATGCGGGATGAAGTTACCAAAAGTTCTAGTAGGAAATCGTGATCAGCGAGGTCTACCAATTTGTAGGTGTCAGAAAAAATACTCACTTGTGACACTGGCTGCTGATGGCGTTATACATCGTGAAGGAATAGAAGTTAGAATTGATGGGCTGAATGGTCTGAGAGCTCGCCTTACAACTTGAAAGTCCTGGGTTCGACCCCCGACTGGGTTACGGATGCGTACTACTGAATAGTCTCAAACTAGAACGAAGTAGGTGTTCAGTACTCTCGGATTCTCGATGGTTCTCCATTTGAAGTTATTTCCTGATCCATCTAGAAATAGTGTTTAGGCGATAATAACTGCACATATACAAGTGTTTCCATTTCAAATTCTCAACTAGATGAATAGGTATCAGGTGTGTATCATTGCACCAGTAATCAAGAACACCCTTCAAAATTGACCACTTTTCTTTCTACCCGTGTATGCTTTTTCACAATCACTGTATTTTATTATAATTCTCTCCTAGTCTGTGGGGATAAAAGCAGCCGTTAGGTATTTTCGCGCATAGATTAGCGAACGCTACAACAGATTTTCCAGCTGTATAAAAGCAAGTTGATCTACCATCTTTATAACACCCAAATGTCATATCTGATATCATCTCACCATTCCTCTAGGCACGTAATATACAAAATCACACAAAAAAAGCCAACTACCTGAGCAGATTCAGGCAGTAATTGATCGCTTGTATTCTACTTTTATGCAAGTATTTTGAAACGATAGTGCGGTAAAAGTTTCTTCTGCAATAACTTATGCCTTCATTCATTTGGAGATAGTGAAAGTAAAATTCTTGAATTGAAAAAAATAATGAGTTAGTCTGTAGGGATTAGATTTATTTAAATTTTCACCACGAATTGATATCAGTTAGAGAACCATTGGCAATCAGCAGGGAATACTAGACATTTATTTCATCCTGGTTAGGATCCCCCACCAGGTTGTGCTTGAGGATGAATACTCACCAATGACATTGTCTGATGGCTGTGGGTGGTCTACGAACTTTCCTCCCAACCGGAAGGTCTTGGGTTTGAAGCCTGGCGATTGGCAGGTACTGCTGATGAGTTCCAAACTAGGACGAAACAGCTGTCCAGTATTCCCTGCTTGTTTTCAACTGATATCAATCTGTGGGCAAACTTGAAAAATCACTGAAGATTATAACCTTAAGTCTAATCCATTTGCCACATAGTTATTTAATCCCTAATTTACGAACAAAGTAATGAGAGGCAGACAGATATATAGGTAGAGAGAGAGAGAGAAAGCCGAAAAGAACGAAAAAGAAAACAGATTCAATCAATAACAAACTGGAAGTTGAGCATTAATCACTCACTATTCACTCAATATGTTTGTTGTATAGGTGAATCACTGCGATTAGCTACTTTATATTTCGAATGTAACTTTGATTAGTTATCAAAATTTTAAAAAGAAGGCATAAGTCTTTTGATCAATAAATATTATAGAAATATAAATACCATTTTGTCAAATTCCCTTTTCTACTGTATGTTTTAGGCATGAATTCGGTTTTTGTTCCACATCTTTCTTAGCTTAAGTCATAAAAAAATTTGTACTGGAGAGAGAGAAAGAGAAAGTAAATATTGCCATCATTGTAACTTTGCCTTTAAAAACACCCAATGTGATGTAAACTAAAAGGGCACAGGCTAACAAAGATTAGATTATTGGATAGTTGGAGGCGATCGGCCATAGGAAGCCTTGGACCTAAGTTTCGTGCTAGTTGGCACACACCAGTCAGCAAGGCGTATCTGCAACCTTGAAGGAACTCATGTCCCTTCTGAGATTCGAACCCGCGTCACTCAGGATTTCAGTCGGTGAGAGACGTTACCATTGAGCTATTGAGGCTCGCGATTGACCTCCTGTAGGACTGTAGTGGGTATTTTCATTGGACACTAGTAACTAGTGTGACGTGTCTAGTCCTCCTGTTTTTGGTGCAGAATGAATTCTACCAGTCAGGTTTGCAATGTGGCCACCATTCTAGTTAGCTGGCCATCCCGGTGCACATTGATTTGATGATATTAGACAGTTACTAGTGTCCGATGAAAATACCCACTACAGTCCTACAGGAGGTCAATCGCAAGCCCGAATAGCTCAATGGTAACATCTCTGACTGCAGGTGGCACTGGGTGACGCGCGTTCGAATCTCAGAAGGGACATGATTTCCTCCAAGGTTGCAGATACGCCCTGGTGACTGGTGAGTGCCAACTCGCACGTAACCTAGGTAAAGCAAGGCTTCCTATGGCCGATTGCCTCCAACTGTCTAATATCATCAAATCACTGTGCACCATTATGGCGAGCTACCTAGAGTGGTAACCACATTGCAGACCTGACGGACAGAATTCAGTCTGTACCAAAGACAGGAGGACTAGACACGTCACACTAGTTACTAGTGTCCAATGAAAAGATTAGATTATTTTGGTTTATAACCACCCTTCAAAGTTGTACAGTTAAAAATAGTATTCCCAAAGGTCATGCAAATGACTATAAGGGTCATTCATTGATATTAATTTGTAACATGACATACGAGATTATTTGGTGGATGGATGGTGACTAGCAGTGGAATCCAGCTTGATGTGACCGTTCTGTTTGGGACTCGTCAGCTGGATCTATCTGCATTCCCCAGTGAGTTATGGTGTTCTCCGCACTGAGACTGGAACCCTACAGTACCCATCATTTGCAGGATTGGTGAGCAGTATCAACTAACTTATCTGTGAAAGAAACCCATGGTGATCATCAAAACAGGGAACTGGAGACTTCAGTAGGCCATATGATAATTGATATCGCTATTCTCAGACTAGATTAAGGCTAGAGTATAGTCGTAATGGACAAAATTGAATACAAAAGTGAGATGTTGTGCATCTTTTTTTTTATTTCTATTTCATGTTCCTTTTTCCACATACTTTGTCCTGAATTCAAAAAATTATTCTTACTTGGCTTCTCTCTCTGACAATGCTAAACTATTGATATACTACATATAGTTATTAGATGGTTGGGGGCAGTCGGCAGGAAGCCTTGGACCTAAGTTTTCTGCCTTTAAACTCACCAGCATGACTCGTCAGCAGCTCATATCCTTAGAAGACAGTCCTACAGGAGGTCAGTTAGGAGTTTGAATAACACAGTGGTGTAACGTCTCTGACTACACGACTAGGTAACCCGGGGGGTTCGAATCTCTTCAAGATTGTAGATACACCTTGTTGACTTGTCAGTGACAACAAGCACGAAACCTAGGTCAGCTGACTGGTCTTCCTTCTGAATGCCTCCAACCACCTTCACAGTTCGCAGTGATGGCGAGCCACCTAGCTTAATAGTGGACACATTGTGACACTGGATACTAACCACCTAGTGTCCAATCAAAATACGAAATATAGTCGTATATTTGTCTTATAAAGTCAGTATTCTGATAAACCCTTTTAATTAAATTATGTGTACACCTGAACGTTGAAACAAATCGAATTCCTTACAAACCAACTGACCTTAAAAACTAATCTGATGCCCGCTAGTGACTGGCTGGCTACAGGAGGAAGTTGTCTGGAGTTCTAGTGAAAAGTCGTTTTCCAGTGGAGTCCACCAGGACACGCCTGAGGACATATACTCGACAATGACAATGACTGGTGGTCGCACTAAATTCACGAATTGGTAGAAGTTAGAATTCATGGGCTGGCCATTGAATTGGGTCCCAATGGCTGAATGGTCTACGAGATTGACTTGTAAGCGGAAGCTCCTGGGTGAGTGCTGTTAATGAGTTCCAAACTGGGACCAAACAGTTTTCCAGTACTCGTTGCTTGTTTTCAGTGGTTCTCTAACTGAGATCACTCCGTTATCACAGTTTAAACAAATCGAACCCCCACAAACAAACTCTTGTAAAATCAGGTAACTATGGCGAGATTTGAGGTTGTGACTTTGATGTGTAGAAAGGAGTTTACCGTGGCTAAAATTGAATGTTGAATAGTAGTTGCGTCTTGATTGAAACTATCATCATCGACTGAGATGGTTAGGACATGTGTTACGTATGCCTAGTCATCACCTTCCTCGACGGGCAATGTTAGCGGATATAGGGCCATGCTGGAAAAGAGCTAGCGGCGGTCAAACGAAAACATGGCACTAGTCAATGAAATCTACAACCGTTAGTCTAAGCCACATAGGAAGGTGTAGACTTCCTGGTTGGGGTCCTCGGGACGGTAAAAACCAATGGTTGGAAACAATTGGTGATATGGCTCAAAATCGTTCTCAATGGCTGGCGTAGATGCATCCACTCCTTGTGACTCATGATTCCCAATGAAACCGTTTTGTTCTTCGTTATTGCTATTCCTTTGTCTCACACCTCTGTTTACTGTCTATATTATGCATTTCTTCTACTTTGTTCTCTTGCTTTGTGTGCTACATGGAGTGTGGTGACTTAAACTACCGCACATATGTGCAAAGTTCTATGTCGAAAACAGACCGACCGACCCATCATCATAGTATAGATTTCTCATAATTCTCAAGTTGTCATTATTAGTGACACTGGATTAACTTGGTTTTAAGATAGGTAACAGATTTTCTTCATAAAGATAACTTACCGAATCTTTCAATACATTCTTCTCCTTTTACAATAATCGCTTATAGTAAACGGAGTACTAAGTTCGTCTACAGGTCATCGAGTGGAACCGGACTAGGAAACGATGAGTGGGACGTGTGTCCGAGGGTGACATGGAGGATATGAGATAATATGGGCAATCGGGGGGCCAGCTGAAGAGGACTGCAGAGTGAAAAACGAGGTGAAGACATGTTGTTGAAGCCCTATTTTCTCCCTGGAACCCAAGGGAACAGTGATAATAAAAACAGTTGTGTGATCTTTACAACTACTAACTACTATTGTTCATTATTTCACTTAGTCTAATTAAAGTCAGCGTATTAACTTCTTGTAAATAATACTTATTTTGTATTTTGATTTTTTTTTCATAGTGGAAGATCTCAACAAGAATTACGTGCCAATGCTGTTTCTGTAGCTAATCTTCCTCAGCCATCGTTCAGTCGGTATGTGGAGGTCTGCGTTTTTGCTTCTTCCACTTCTTTTTTTATCATATGATTTACGAAAATGTGTATTACTGATTTTTGTTGTTGATGTTTTTACTGTGTTGGCGGATGGTGTTGAACAATTTCAGGTAGAAGTCAGCAAAATTTACTACTGACCTAAAAACAACTACCCGTGTGATTTACAATAATCACAGAGGGATTAGCTTGACTAATATGATATCTAGGCTCAGTAATCATACTTAGATTAGGTGGTGATCGAAAGAAACAAATGCGAGCAAACCAGGTAGACTTTAGACCAGGAAGAGGGTGTATTGATCATGTATTCATCTGTTGACAGATTCTACAACATAGAGATACTTACCGGCGTCCAACAGTCTTCGTATTTCTTGACCTGAAGGCGGAATTCGGCTCCGTTGACCAAGAGGTACTATGGCAACATGTGGCTTTGAAAAGAGTGATGCGAAAGTAAATCTCACTAGTCAAGGCACCCTACTCGAACTCATCTAGTCTTTTAAGAGCTTACGGAGATTTGTCATTTGAAGTGATGACAACCGGTGGTGTCCGTCTGGGATGTCCACTATCCACATTTCTGTTTAATTTCATCACAGATGTACCAATAGAATTAACCCTAACTGACTTCAGCGAATTCGTAATAGACTTGTTGACTTAGAATATGTGGATGATATAGTCCTCCGCCTAGGTGAATACGTTAATAAAATCCAAAGATCTCTGAACTCCTTGAACATTACAATCTTCGAATGTTTGGCTTGCGATTTTCTTCTGTCAAATGTATGATAATGTTACAGGACTGGACTACATGGACTCCTGGCGTAAAGAAAGGGATTGAAGTGGCACAGCGTGTTGACTACTTCGCTTATTTGAGAAGTTGCATCAGCCACAACAGGCTGATTTTTGGCGAATTCTCAGCACGGCTACAGAAGGCTGGTTTGCCATTTTTCAGCCAACTTACGCCATCTCTGGTGTGGACGTAATATCCTGCTGGCTGTCGACCAAAGGGCGTGTACACTACTGCTCAGTTCTCTCTGTCCTTCATTTATAGCTGGGATAAATGGTCATTGAAAGTGGAAGACATGAAAAGGTTAGCTGTGTTTAATCATAGGAGTTTACGCTCTGTCACTCGTGTTAGGTGGTATAATAGGGTGAGAAATATTGAGGTTAGGAGTCGAGTGCTAGGCAAGGAGGGGAAATCAATCGGTGAGGTTGTTAAGCCACATCGATTGAGATTGTTAGGATATGTGTGACGTATACCTAGCCATTGCCTTATTCGACAGGCAATGTCAGTTGGCACATAGGGTCAGGTTGTAAGAGAGATATTGGTGGTCAAAGCAAAACATTGCTTCATCAGTCCATGAAATCTTTGTCAGTTCGTTTAAGCCAGTCACGTGCAGAGAGGTGTGAGTCTTCTTGTTGGAGTCCATTGGCTGAAGACAATTAGTGATATGGCTTGAAGTCGTATTCAATGGCTCCCATATCCATTAAACCCTATTGTTTTCTCAAGTTACTGCTCTTTATACCTCACATTTCTGGTTCACATTGTCCTTTCGAATTTCTTTCTTTTTATCTCTTTTGTCTTCCCATGTGTGCTACATGGAGTGTGGCAACTCAAACTGCTACACATCTGTGCAAAGTTCTGCCTTGAAACCAGTCACTCAGTTAATCTTAGATTATTGTACGAAAGTCTCCTGCACAAAGTGTACAATGAGTGTTCTTGTGCTATTAACATTTGTGAATCAATCACATTTACATATGTTTTTGTTTTAGCGCACTTAACTAATTTATAAAGTAATCAATATCCTTTTTCACATATAATTTTCTCCAGTGTTTCCAGTTTCCGTAAAGTAGCAGCCTTATATCCAGACTTGAATGGTTCTCTTGGTCGAGCTACACTACCAGGTAGACTTCGGGCACCGAGTGAATATTCTGGGAATCGTTTAGACAAGACTAAAACACTAGATGAAGCTAGTCCATTAATGACAGCATTCACAGATATGCCAGAAAGTAAGCTTCGCATGTATTTTCTACGATAATCTGTTATGGTACTTTTAAATTAGATTTCATTAATGTTATTACTATGTATGTATAAAAGCTGGTTACATAAAGTGTCCAATATTTTTTTATATGTAACTAGTACTATCGTTGAATAATGAGCACAAATTAAGGAGGAATAATAGCGCAGTGATTGACGTTATTGTAGAAGAAATTTCAGCTTATTCGTCTCGTGACAAGACTGCCTCCTATTATCACCGATGGTATTCCTGAATGTGGTGAACTGGATCATTCAACATATTATGGGGAACGAGAAAACGAGCATACGCTGGACCGACGACAATAATAATAGCTTTATTTCAGACAATATGTGAACATACATTACAGAAATTTACACCGTATTTAGTTCCAAAATATATTTCCTGTACATACAGAATTTACATGTAAAGCAAATAGTCTGAAGTACGTTATTTGTCATAGTGTTGCTGCGTTTGAGGAGAGCACCATTTCTGTACATTTCTGCTTCAATTTCTTCGAAAAATTGCATAGCATATAATGGGAAATTAATTAAATATGCGCGCGAGTTCGTCTATTGGTCATGTGTTATAATTCTACTAGGAAGTGCAGAAGAGTTTAAGCAGCACTTTGATGGATGGGGATTCTGGTAACTCAGTGATTTAAACAGACCGCTAAGACTCTAGAAGATCTGGACTTAGAGGACGATTTATCTCTAGTATTACACAAATTCCAAAGATCTACAGGCGAAAACCAACAACAAGTTGACAGAATAGGCGGTGGGCAGCAAAGACACGACTTCAAGTGTAATCATAGCGAAAATGGAGGTGATGCAGAAACCTGACCAACAAGAATAACAAGAACCAATCACCATCAATGGGAGAAATTTGAAGGAATATGCTTCTTTTACTTATCCACTCGACGTTGTTTCAGCTACATACATTGGGAATGGATGTGGATATCAAAGGCAGCAGGATAGGAAAGGCGCGACAGACCTTCACGTTAATCATAAAGCATAAGGAACAACATCCGGATATCAAATCGGTCAGTGCTTCTACTGTGGTTCAGAGACTTGGCATGTGTGTCTCAAGAAGCGTTTCTATCAGCCTACTACATCAGACCTGTTATCAACAGCTGCTCCCGCTTCATACTGAAGGATAAACAACAAGAAACTCCGGTAGGCGGCCAACCAACCAAGAAGAATGTTGAGTGAAGATATCACGTGCCAGGGCGTCGTCGCTCGAGTGGACCTTGAATGGAAAACGATGAGTTGGGCTAAAAGGACTGTAGATAACAGAGTGAAATGGAGATGTTCTGTTGAAGCTCTATGTTCCAATCAATCGGAACTCATGGCAATAATCATAATAATAATAAGTATCGATTATTAACTTCTGCATACTCTGATTGGCGGATGGTGACTAGCAGTGGAATCTACTAGGATAGCATTTCACCCTATTTGGGAATCGTCATCCGGATGTACCTTCATTCCCCAGTCACTGAGTGATGATGTTCCCGTCGAGGCTCAAACCCTATGCCCATAGTTTCAAACGCCAAAGCGTTATCCACTAGACCACTTGGGCCACGAAAGCCACTGTCTCCTGTGCAACGGGTCATATTAATTATTTAATTGAATTTCTAGATTTTCCCATCGATTGATTGGTCCGAAGTGCTCGGTCTCAGGTTGGTATGTCTGTCGGCTTCTTGTGCAGATGCTTCGACGATGCTGACGAGTCTCGAATGGGATGAAATGAGCGTTATCCTAGTAGATTCCACTGCTAGTCACCATCTTCCAATTAACTTCTAATTACATGCCCAGATACATCGTCGAAGCATCTGCACAAGAAGCCGACAGACATGTCAACCTGAGACCACGAGAGAACTTCAGTCCAATCAATCGACGGGAAGAAAAATCTAAAATTCAATTAAATAATGCATAATACTTTGGTTTTGAGTAAATGTATGTTTTTGTTCTGAATTCTCCACACAAGGCGGCATATAAATCCTCTGTATTATAAGAAGTTATATTGAAAATGACTAGATAGATAGATGGCAGTTTAATAGAGATGTATGACATGACAGTGAACACTAATCGCTCACATTAAACGATTTCAATAAATCTTCGGCTGCTTGCTATAAACAGCATCATTATGACCTCGAGTGTTTGTTTTTACAAAATATGTTAGTTGCAGTATTGTTTGTTTTATTTTATTAGCAACTAGTGTTAGTTAGCATTTCAAAAACCAAAAAAAAAAAAATAATTCATTGCTGAAATACTTGAACTAATACAAAACACATTTTATTGAATTTTTTTTTATTAATTTATAAATTTCATGCATAAGTGCATTTTAATTCTGAAATTTAGTATGACTTTGTTATTACTACTATCATCATCATTATCATCGGATGTGTGAATATTTATTGATGTTTGTTTGTTCATGTTAGTGCACAATTATAATTTATAAAATGTTTGCTTTTTTATGGCAAGATAAATGACATCTCTCTGGTCTCTCTAGTTTTGTGTCAATTGTCGCCAATCTCTTATGGTTAGCTATTAATACTACTACTACTACTACTACTACTACTACTACTACTACTACTACTACTACTACTACTACTACTACTACTACTACTACTACTACTACCACTAATCAGTCATACTTTACGACTACTATTGCTATTGCTACTACTTATACAATTACTGCCACACACACACACCCGCACAACCACAACCAAGCCCTGTGAACAACGTGTGATGATAATGTTTATCTCAATTTTGATTGAATGCCTTTCTTGTCACATCTTCTGCTAACTAGGTTTTCTTTTTTTAAAAAAAATAATAGTTTAGTATGCAGAGAAGAAATTACTGCATGTAATGAATTTTTTTTCTAAAGAAAGGATACTGAACAAAGAGTATTCTTTTCGAAAACCTCTTCATCATCAGGTTCTACAGTTATATATACACTTTATAGTGAATGAATGAATTAGTATAATGAACAACATTAATGTTTGAATAACGTCGAATCAATAATATTGATGGATTACAGCTCATTAGTATCAACATAACAATAAACTGAATGTCAGAAGAATTATGAAAGATAATAGTACAAATTCATGAGTTTATAGTCTCTACTGAAGGCCGGCCAGGGCAGTAGTAGGGGCTGGACTTGCTTCTTTTGAACACATAGCACTGGTTGTTTGAGGCGAATTGCAATAGCCTCTGCTGTTTGGAGCATGCGGTGCTTCGATGATTTTGGCAATTTATTAGGCACCCGGTATATTATAGAGAAGGATTCTTCCACACTGTCTGGCTTTGTGGCCGGTTTGCACCAGATGGTCTAATATCGAGCTGTTAATAGTTTTAACTACACCTTTACTTAGCCATAGTGGGATATGTTCTCGAGCACGAAAAATCAAGTTCCTAGAGCAACGGCCAATATAACTCGCTCCACAAGCAGCGCAGTTGAATTGATAGATACAATTTGAAGTGGTTAGTCTAGGTATTTCATTTTTCAGTCGAGGTAGTACCAGCGGTCGTGTAGAGAATAACACGTGTAGTTCTCCAGCATTTTTTTCTGGTAATTTATAAAACATTAAGAATTTAAAGGGTTTAGTGGACATACTGATCGTTGTAGATGGATGGAATGTTTGTCAGCTCCACAAACATAACAAACAAAGAGAAGTTCAACAAAAAACAAAAACAACTAATTGTTTTGTTTTTAATTCATTCAGTTTTCCTTTTTGATTGATTCGATCTGTGTTGAATGAAATATCGGCGGACGCTTTTCGGTGATGTCTGAGGAGGATGTGAATTCCATCCTATTTAGGACTCATCATCTAGATGTACCTTCATTCTCCCAGTGATTGGTGGGTGGTGTTCCCTGCATTGAGGCTCAAACTCAAGTACCCATCGTTTTAAACGCCAAAGCGTTATTCACTTAACTCCTTGGGTCATGAGAGAGCTACATCTTGTGAGATGGATGTTGAAGGGAGCACTATTACTCATTAGGGAATGCAAGTACATTTGTAACAATAGAAGACAAGGGCCAGGCAACAGATCGTTTATTTAGGAATCAACAATATTTATATATTTTCATGTACATTATTATTATAGATTATTGTAAGCAAACAAACACAGTCTTCTGATTGGTTTGGTGGTTTCTCGTTGAACGTTAATCTTTCATCTCTTTGTGGCCGTTTCTTGAAGTTCAGATTGTCTATCTGCAAATTGTATCCGCCTACGCAAAGTCTGCTGTGATTCGTTTTTGAGTCAGTCTTTGTTCTTATTTTTCTCACGACCAATATTGGGGACGTAAACATTGACGTAAATTACTGTCTACCAATTTGGCCAGATGATGAGTCCCAAATAAAGATAGCCGAAATGCTCATCCTAGTGGATTCCACTGCCATTCACTTTCCTACGAAATTACTTCACTTTAATCCTCAGATAGAGGCCAAACACTTAAGTTCAGTCACTCAATGGGAAAATTAAAATTGACTGAATAAATGTGTTTTTTTTGTCCCTGACTGGCCAGCCTTATCTTTATAACAGTCCCTTTCCTTTTCAGCATCTAAGTGCTAATTCATGAGTGTGTCTATCTCCCACACATGCATACACACGCGCACACAGTCATTTTCAGTTCAAACTTTCTGCTTGTGTGATCAGTGTTGATTAATCCACAAAATTCCAATTCGACTGGAACTTATTCACCGTGGAACATCTTACTTGCCTGTTGAAACTCGAACCATTGGGTCATAATTGTCTTCTATGGTTGACCAAATAAAGTCATCTCATGTTTCTGGATTGCAACATATTTAGGCATTGCATGTGATTTATAGTCAGCGTAACACTATGTACTGGAAGGCAGTTTTAGCTAAGATGAAAAAGAATTTAAGTATCAATCAGATAGGTGTCATTCTGGTGAAGGTATTTTACCTGTATCCCTACACATCAGCTTATCATCCTCTTTTTGTACTTACTAATTGTTTCTACTGTCACT